CATTTATGTGCCAATCACCGACAAACCCGATGCGCTCGCTGGCAGCTCTGGTTATTGAATAGATAAATAAAATAACACATAAACCAGTCACCATTAAACCCAGTGCGCTTACTCGTTAATTTGTTAATTATTTCAATAAATAAAATTACTCAAGCACCAATCACCATTTAACCCAGGGTGCTTACTGTTCGCTACGGTAATTAATAAAATAAATTAAAAAACACAAAAACAAATCACCGTTAAACCCTGTTTGCTTACTGGTTGCTTTGAAAGTTAATATAATTGACCAATTAACAATGTGCCAATCACCAAACAACCCGGGGCGCTTACTCGCCTTTTTGATTATTAATATAATAAATAAAACTCAAGCACCAATCACCATGAAACCCAGGGCGCTTACTGTTCGCTTCGGTAATTGATATAATAAATAAAAAAACACAAGAACAAATCACCGTTTAACCCTGTGCGCTTACTGGTTGCTTTGTATGGTATTGCGGGCAAGAGGGGCGCGTGCTGCCGCCGAGTGGCGGCTGCGGGCGGCATTGTCGTGCGAGCGTCGGAGTGCTCTCTCCATGTTGAGATGTGCGACGAGCACGAGCTGCTTGCTCAGCTACCGTTATTGTAATGGAATTGGTGCTTCAAAATAATAACACATGTTATTAAATACATCCGCTGTTTCAACGTGTTCTTATTGTTCATTCCACATCCTACGTCAAGACATTACAAATTAGTGACAAGGCGCAAAAAAAAGGGCATGTCATGTGTAGTGTCTTGCAAAATTTAAAGAATAATGGGTTATATGGAATAGAAATCTTTATTTTATTACGTAGATTGTCATTTAGTAGGTTGTCATTATCATTATTAGTATTTTTTATTTGGTGAAGTGAATTTCAATTCTAACCACCCCCGATCTTTAAAAGTCAATGCAGTATACAGTTTGGTTGATCGAGCTATTCTTTTGTCTCATAAATTATACCACGGGAAGAATATTCTCATGGAAAAAAGAATTTAACGTGATAATAATTATACTGAACTTCTCATACAAAAATATATCAAGAAAAGTCTTCACCAAATAAAAAATACTAATAATGATAATAACAACCTACTAAATGACAATCTACGTGATAAAATAAAGATTTCTATTCCATATAACCCATTATTCTTTAAATTTTGTTCAAAAATTTTGAAAAAATTAAACATACAAATTTACCCTATCATTCAAGATAAATTGGACAGTGTTATCATTCTTGGGAAAGACAAGATTGATAAGCTCGGTCAAACCAATGTTGTGTATTATTTTGCATGTGATTCTTTCTCAGCATCATATTATGTAGGTGAAACAAAGAGAGCATTGAAAAAACGCCTGAATGAACATAAAAGTACCAAGAAAGATGAACTTGTTGTCACTTCACACATAAAAAAATTCCAGTAGTCTTGCATTTTTTTCTCGCGGACTCTGTCGGCTATCTGCTCTTAGCCTTTCTCCTTTCACCTCTCCTCCTTCACCGAAAGCAGCTGCATNGAGCATTGAAAAAACGCCTGAATGAACATAAAAGTACCAAGAAAGATGAACTTGTTGTCACTTCACACATAAAAAAATTCAACTATAATTTTAATTTTTCTCAAACAAAGATTCTAGACCGTGAACCTAATAGACAAAAAAGATTAATATCTGAAATGCTGTACATACACTTTACTAAACACACAATTAATAAGAAAGAAGATACCTTACTTCTCAATAACGTATATAAAGATTTTATAAGTAATCTTTCTAAATAACACAATGTAGTTATGTACTGCTGTTGTCTATATTCGTAAGCAGCGTACATTTACTGTTTATATGTATATGCGTAAATACATACATGTTTGACACTTACGTTATTCCTTCGAGGCGCCCAACAGTCTGTAACGATCGTCTTAACGATATAGACGTGAGTAACTGTTCAATTTTAAAATTATTTATATTACTATTTTATTCGTGACTACTTACTTATAATTAATTTTGCATTAATGTAGATATTTGTAAACATTGGCCCTGCAATGTAATTTATGAAATTTGTTGTGTTTTTTCTGTTATTAAATTGAGCCTGATGAGGTTGGCGTTTAGACCAACGAAACGTTGCTCAAACTAACACCTGACTTTGGAGTTTTTATTCTCACTCCTAAATTAGCTCTTACTGATCGTGTGCTTATGCACTAAACCTCAAGAAATTAAGTGTCGTTATTGTTGACAGTCATAGGGAAAGATGGCTATGCGTTGATCAGGAACTTGTCAATGCCCGATTTACCAGCTACAAAGACATACAAACAGCTCACGGAATTAATGGCGTCGCACCCTCAGCCCGCTTTAAGCGTGATAACAGAGAGATACAAGTTTAAGAAATGTATTCAAATGGACAACGAATCAGTGAGTGCTTATTGTTCGAGATTAAAAAAGGTGGCAACTCATTGTAAATTTGGCAATGAGTTAAACGATAATTTGCGAGATCAATTCGTGAGTGGTGTCAAGTGTGAGGCAACAAAGAAAATGTTGCTTAGAGAGAAAGAAGATGACCTTACATTCGACTCAGCAACCAGGAAAGCGCTCGCCATGGAAGCAACTTCGCGCAATGCCGCGAACATGGGTCTGTGCAGCGGAAATTCAGTGAATTTCATCAAAAGCCAAGGCAATGGGTCGCAGAAAAACAAAAACGTCCAAGGCAACAGGATTGGGAAGCAGTCGTCGCAAATCAAGTCATCGGAGGGCAAAGCATGTTATTGTTGCGGCTACACTAACCACATGGCTTCGGAGTGTAGGTATGCGGCGTATGTGTGCAATACGTGTGGCAAGCGAGGCCATTTGGCGCGTGTGTGTAGAATGATAAAAGTAAGCAAGCGAGGAGAGAGTCGCGTGGCGCACGGAATTCGCAAAATTGCCTCGAAGAAGATGATTCGAGCGATGAGTCAGTAAATAGTAATGACACTCTGTTTGTGTTGAAAGGTAAAATTAACGTGTCTTTGAATGACAAAAGTAAGAAAGTAACTATGGATTTTCTAATTAATGATGTACAAACAGAATTCGAGGTAGATACTGGTGCGGCGATGTCTGCGGTCTCCGAGCGTCACTACAAAAAGTACTTAGCACTAATATGTACATTGAACAAAACGTCGCGCCGGTTTAAAAGCTGTCCGGGTGATGTAATTGTGCCGTTAGGTATAATTAATGTAAAGGTTCAATTCCGCGATTTTGAGAAAATATTAGAATTGTTTGTCATGCCTGGGGCTAATAATCCGATAGTAGGGAGAGAATGGTTGCTCGAGTTTGGGATTATTGAAGGAGAGAAGGTAACGGAATCGATATATATATAAACAAGCTAAGTGAATGTGATTTGAAAAGGGAGTTTCCGGAAGTTTTTTCATCATCGCTTGGGTGTTACAACAAAAGAAAGTTTGCATTTAAAGTCAAAGAGAATATTATTCCAATTTTTAAAAAGCCGAGGTCGGTGCCATATGCCATTCGTGATAAAGTTGAGGAAGAATTAGATCGCCTTGTGAGGGAGGGAATAATTTTTCCGGTCGAAAGCAGCGAATGGGCTACCCCTATTGTGTCATTGTTGAAAGAAGACGGGAAAATGAGGATATGCGGGGATTACAAGGTCACTTTAAATCAATATTTAAAAGTTGATTGGTATCCGATCCCTCGAGTTCGCGATGTACTTGCTACGTTAGAGGGTCACGCAGTACAATCTAAGCTGGACTTGAAACAAGCTTACCAGCAGATCGAACTTAATGAGGCGTCGAAAGAGATGACAACCATCTCTACGCACAAAGGGTTATTTAGATTCAATAGGCTAGCGTTCGGCGTGGCATCGGCCCCGGGCTGGTTTCAGCGAGAGATGGAGGAACTTCTCGGAGATATTAAGGGAGTGAGCGTGTTTTTTGACGATACACGACTAGGGGGAAAAGATTAAGAAGAGCACGATAAACGGTTGAGGGTAGTTTTGACCCGTTTGAGAGATGCAGGATTGACTCTTAAGTTAGAGAAATGTCAAATTAATCAATCTAAAATTAAATTTTTAGGCTACGTTGTCGATAAAAACGGTATCCGTGCGTCGGATGCTAAAGTGAAGGTTATTTCGCAAATGCCAAGTCCCGCTAATATAAAGGAATTCCAAAGTTTTCTGGGAACAATGAACTATTATTCTAAATTCATTAAAAATTATAGCACGCTAGTGAGACCATTGTATGATTTATTGAAAAAAGATAAAACATGGAAATGGACTGCAGAGTGCGAGAGTTCCTTCACGCGCGCAAAAGAGAGTCTAATGTCATACGACGTGCTAACGCATTATGATCCACAGCGGCCAATCAAAGTAACTTGCGATGCGTCACTTACTGGCATCGGAGCCGTCTTGTAACATGTCACGCCGGATAAGTCTGTGCGGCCGGTTTCGTTCGCGTCGCGTACCCTGACAAAAGTGGAAAGGAATAACGCTCAATTGGATCGTGAGGCCTTAGCGATCGTGTATGCAGTAAAAGAGTTTTATACGTTCATCTTTGGTAGAAGATTTATTCTGGAAACAGATCATAAGCCGTTGGTGTTTATATTTGGTGAAAAAAAAAGCTTGCCTCAAATGTCAGCAAGTCGACTCCAAAGATGGGCCGTTTTCTTCTCCGGCTTTGATTATGAGATCAAACATGTAAAAGGTACGCATAACGAGGTTGCTGATTGTCTGTCGCGATTGACTAATAGTAAGTCGACCGATTCGAAATCAAACGGTATTTCTTATGTAAATTGGGTATACGAAAATGTAAATTTTATTTCGCAAGAACAAGTCCAAGAGGCAATCGAGTCCTGTGAAGTTGTAAAAAAAGTTCGTCAGTATGTGAAGTATGGCTGGCCAAGCAAGGTGAGTGACGAGTTAGCCAAATTTAAAAACAAGGAGCTGGAGCTTTCGATCGAAAATGACTGTCTGATGTGAGGCCATCGATTGGTGGTGCGAGAATCGCTGCATGTACTGATGTTGAGGGAGCTTCATGATGGTCACATGGGCGTGGTTAAAATGAAGGCCCTGGCCCGCTCATACATCTGGTGGCCAGGCATGAACGCCGAGATTGATAAAATCACGAAGTCTTGCGAGGCTTGTCTCAAGTATAATGACAGTCCGCCTAAATCAAAATTGCACATTTGGGACTGGCCAGACGCCCCTAACGTTCATTTGCATGCAGACTTCTTAGGTCCACTGGACGGGAAGATGTACTTGATTGTCGTGGATGCTCACTCAAAGTGGGTAAACGTCAAGCTTATGCGCGACATCACATCGAAGTCAACAATCGACGCCTTCAGGGAGTATTTTGCAGATTGGGGCCTACCCGTTAAGCTAGTCACGGACAATGGTCCATCTTTTTGTTCATTTTAAATTGTATCGTTCCTGGAGAACAATGGAATTCTTCATGCAACGTCGTCGCCTAATCACCCTGGAAGCAACGGGGCATCCGAAAATGCTGTGAAGACATTTAAGAAAAAATTTAAGTCGTTCAGAGGTGAAGACAGGTCGCTCAAAGAGTCATTGTCTAAGTACCTGTTCCATGTGAGATCAACACCCCATGTCACAACTGGAGTGTCTCCAGCGGAGCTTCAATTGGGCCGTAAAATGCGGACTCGTTGGGACCTTCTGAGGGAGTCGTCACGTAAGAAGGTTCAACGGAGCCAAAAAGCTCAGGAAAAATTTTTTCATGGAACTAGGAACATTGCATTCGAAGATAACGGAATAGTCATGAACGAAGACTACAGGAACAGCAGTTAGGAGAAGGCTGAAATAGTCAGGCAAGTTAGTCCAGTTTCATACCACGATAAAACGGATGGAAATGTACTCTGGAAGAGACATGTGGGCCAGCTGAAGTCATGTCACTTGGGCTCGAATACATTGCCGGAAAAGGAGGAGCAACCAAACCGTAGGTTAAGTTCTCAAAATAAAAAAATTTAAATCAACGCATGTTGATAAGTCTGATTCTATTTTAAATAATGATAGTAATAATCAACCAGCGGAAATACGCGAAAATAATATTAAAACGATTAAGATTTAAAGCGAAGCAGCGCCCGTACCTGTAGAACCGCTAAGGCGTTCATCTCGCGTGCCGAAACCTCGACAAATATTAGACTTGTAAATCCGTAAATTGAAAGGGGGGAGGATTGTGATATCGTGGGAAAGAGGGGCAAGTGCTGCCGCCGAGCGGCGGCTGCGGGCGGCGTTGTCGTGCGACCGTCGGAGTGCTCTCTCCATGTTGAAATGTGCGACGAGCACGAGCTGCTTGCTCAGCTACCATCAATTGTAATTGGATTGGTGCTTAAAAATAATAACACATATTATGAAATACATCCACTTGTTCAAGGTGTTTTTATTGTTCATTCCACATCCTACGTCAAGACATTACTCTTTGAAAGTAATTATAATTATTCAAATAACACATGCGCCAATCACCAAACAACCTGGGGCGCTTACTCGCCTTTTTGTTTATTCAAAAAGTAAATGAAATAACACAAGCGCCAATCACCACACAAGCCAAAGTGCTTACTGGCCTTTTTGTTTATTAAATAAATAAATAAAATAACACAAGCGCCAATCACCACACAACCCGGGTCACTTACCGGCTGCTCTGTTAATTGAAATGATAAATAAAATAATGCAAGCGCCAATCCCCTCACAACCCAGGATGCTTACTGGCCAATTTGTTTATTAATTAAATAAATAAAATAACACAAGCGCCAATCACCACACAACCCGGGGCGCTTACTGGCCGCTTTGTTTATTAATATAATAAATAAAATAACAAAAGCGCCAATGTCCTCACAACCCGGGGCGCTTATTGGCCGCTTTGTTTATTAATTAAATAAATAAAATAATGCAAGCGCCAATCACCACACAACCCGGGGCGCTTACTGGCCGCTTTGTTTATTAATATGATAAAAAAAATAACAAAAGCGCCAAACACCACATAAGACGAAGCTTACTGATCGCTTTGTTAATTAATTTGATAAATAAAATAACGCAAGTGCCAATCACCACACAACCCGAGGCGCTTACTGGACGCTGTGTTTATTAATTAAATAAATGAAATAGTGCAAGCGCTAATCACCACACAATCCGGGGCGCTTACTTGCCGCTTTGTTTATTAATTAAATAAATGAAATAATGCAAGCGCCAATCACCACACAACCTATAGCACTTACTGGCCGCTCTGTTTATTAATTAAATAAATAAAATAACACAAGCGCCAATCACCACACAACCCTGGGCGCTTACTGGCCGCTTTGTTTATTAAATAAATAAATAAAATAACACAAGCACCAATCACCGCGAAAACCAGGGCGCTCACTGGCCGCTTTAATAATAAAAAATAAGTAAGATAACAAAAGCGCCAATCACTGTACAACCCGGGGCGCTTACTGGTCACTTTCTTTATTAATTAAATAAATAAAATAACATAAGCGCTAATCATTTCACAACCTAAGGCACTTACTGGCTTCTTTTTTAATTAATATAATAAATGAAATAACACAAGCACCAGCACCAATCATAACACAACCCAAAGTGCTTACTAGCCTTTTTGTTTATTTAATAAATGAATAAAATAACACGAGCACCAATCATAACACAACCCAAAGTGCTTACTAGCCTTTTTGTTTATTAAATAAATAAATTAATTAACACAAACATCAATCACCACACAACCTAAGGCACTTACTGGCCGCTTTGGTAATTAATACAATAAATAAAATAACAAAGCACCTATCACTGAACAACGTAGGGCGCTTACTGATCGCTTTATCAATTCAATAAATAAATTAAATAACACGAGCGCAAATCACCACACAATACGAGGCGTTAACTCGTTGCTTTGTTGATTGATTTAATAAATAAAATTACTCAAGCACCAAACACTATTGAACTCGGGGCGCTTACAGGTCACTTTCAGAATTGATATAAAAAATAAAATGACAAAAACACCAATAACCATTAAATCCGGTGCCCTGACTAGTTGCTTAGTTAGTTAATATAATTAATCAAATAACATATGTGCCAATCACCGATAAACCCGATGCGCTCACTGGCAGCTCAAATTATTAATTAGATAAATAAAATAACACAAAAACCAATTATCATTTGACCCAGTTCGTTTACTGGTCAATTTGTTAATTAATTTAATAAATAAAATAACCCAAGCACAAATCACTGTTTAACCTTGTTTGCTTGCTAATTGCTTTGTGAATTAATATAATGAATAAAGTAACACAAGCACCAATCACCATCTAACACGAAGCGCTTACCCGGATGCTTAGTTAATTGATATAAAAAATAAAATAACACATGTGCCAATCACGACTCAGCCCGATAAGCTTACGGGTCAAGTTGTGAATTATTATCATAAATAAAATAACACAAGCGCCAATCACCGCGCAATCTGAGGCGTTTACTGTCTGCTTTGTTTATTAAATAAAAAGATGAAATAACACGAGTGCCAATCACCACACAACCCAAAGCGCTTACTGGATGCTTTGCAAATTGATATAATAAATAAAATAACACAAGCGCTAATCGCCGCAGAATCCGAAGGATTACTAGCCACTTCGTTTATTAAATCAATACATGAAATAACACCAGCGCCAATCACCACACAACCTAGGGCGCAGACTGGCCTTTTTGATTATTAAATAAATAAATAAAAAACAAGCGACAATCACACATCTCAAAGCGCTTACTGGATGCTTTGTTAATTGATATAATAAATAAAATAAAAAAAGGACCAATTACCATACAACCCGGCACGCTTACCGGTTGCTTTGTTAATTGATATAAAAAATAAATTAACTCAAGCACCAATCACCATTTAACCCAGGGCGCTTACTGTTCACTACGGTAATTGATATAAGAAATAAAAAAACACAAAAACAAATCACCGTTTAACCCTGTGCGCTTACTGGTGCCTTTGAAAGTTAATATAATTAATCAAACAACACATGTGCCAATTACCCGAAAACCCGGGGCGCTTACTCGCCTTTTTGTTTATTTAATAAATGAATAAAATAACACGAGCACCAATCATAACACAACCCAAAGTGCTTACTAGCCTTTTTGTTTATTAAATAAATAAATTAATTAACACAAACATCAATCACCACACAACCTAAGGCACTTACTGGCCGCTTTGGTAATTAATACAATAAATAAAATAACAAAGCACCTATCANTTCTCACAACCCGTGGCGCTTACTGGCCGCTTTGTTAATTGATATGATAAATAAAATAACACAAGCGCCAATCACCACACAACCTAAGGCGTTTACTGGCCGCTTTGGTATTTAATATAATGAATAAAATAACAAAGCGCAAATCACTGAACAACCCAGGGCGCTTACTAACCGCTTTGTTAATTAAATTAATGAATAAAATATTACGAGCGCCAATCACCACACAATCTGGGGCTTTTACTAGTTGCTTTGTTAAATGACTTGATAAATTAAAATAGTCAAGCACCGAAAACTATTTAAACTGGTGCTCTTACTGCTTGATTAGTAAGTTAATATAATTAATCAAGTAACACATGTGCCGATCATCGACAAATCCGATGCGCTCACTGGCAGCTCCGTTCATGAAATAGATAAATAAAATAACACAAGCAACAATCAATATTTAACCCGGTTTTCTGACTAATTGCTTTGTTAATTAATAGAATAAATGAAGTAACACAAGCGCCAATCACCCTACAACCCAAAGCGCTTACTGGATGCTTTGTAATTGAAGAAACAAATAGAATAATACAAGCGCCAATCACCAAACAACCTGGGACGCTTACTGGTCACTTTGTTAATTAATATAATAAATGAAATAATACCAATAACTATTCAGCTCAAGACGATTACTGATTGCTTTGTTAACTAATGTAATTAATAAAATAAAACAAGTGCCAATTACCACACAACCCGAAGCGCTTACTGGCCGCTCTGTTCATTAAATAAGTAAATAAAATAATGCAAGCGCCAATTACCATTAAACCGCGTGCGCTTACTGGTCAATCTGTTAATTAATGTTAAAAAAAAAAAAATAAAACAAGCTTCAATGACCATTTCACCCGGTGCGCTTACGGCTTGCTTTGTTAGATAATACAATTAATAGAATAAGACATTACCACACAATCCGATACGATTACTAGTTGCTTTGTCAATTAATATAATGATTAAAATAACACATGTGCCAATTACCACACAACTCGGGTCGCTTACTGGTTGCTTTGTTAGTTTATACAATTAATAAAATAAGACATGTAATAATTACCACACAACCCGATACGATTACTGGTTGCTTTGTTACTTAATATAATAAATGGAATAACACGTGTGCCAATCACCACACAATTTGAGGCGCTTACTGGTCGCTTTGTCTATAAATATAATAAATAAAGTAACTCAAGCACTAATCACCATTTCACCCAGTGCGCTTACTGGTCAATCATTTAATTGATATAAAAAAAGATGAAACAAGCTTCAATCACCATAGAACCCGGTGCGCTTACTGGTTGCTCTGTTAGTTAATATGATAAATAAAATAACACGAGCACCACTCATTATTTTACTCGAGGCGCTTCTTGGCCAGTTTGTTTATTAAATAAATAAATAAAATAACACTAGCGCCAATCACCGCACAATTCAAAGCGTTTACTGGCCGCTTCGTTAATTAATATAATAAATAAAATAACACAAGCACCAATCATTGCAGAATTTAAGGCAAATACTGGCTGCTTTATTTAT